AGCGTTTTGACCCAAATCGGCCGAACTTTTAGGATACCCTCAGACTATGTTCTCTTCTCAGCTTCGCGCCGGGGCAAACGATATAAGTGGAGAGAGGACAGGAGAGTACTTGGGCACACTCTTTGAGTGATTGAGTCCAGTTCGTGACCTCACAGAAAGAAAACAGACACAAAAAAGAAAGAAAGAAAGCAGACACCCCAAGGGAGGGATGGGAGACAACCACCGGGGGCTCGCCACTCGTTTTTCTTGTGCCCCTCAACCTCGGCACAGCAATTCTGGAGAGGTGTCGGCGCGCCTGCTCTCCTCCCCGCCCGCTCCGCCCGCCGCCGCTGCCTCGGCCCTGTGGTTGCCGCTCCCGAGCGGCCCTCCCGTTCCCGCGTGCAGGCGTGCATCTCTTCCATGCTCTCCCTGCTCGCTTGCTCCTCCACCGCGCTGACTCTCCCGCAAGGCACGGCCGCTCCCTCACCCCTCCCTTCGCCGCTTGCTCATGCGGACCGGCTCCCTCGCCCGCCCCGTCGCCGCGTGCTCCACCTCGCCCTTCTTCTCGGTCAGGCGACGCCGTCACGACGAGGCGCGCCGCCGTCGCCGGCGCCTTCACCACCGCCTTTGCTGCCGCCTCGCCGGCGCTGGCCGCCAATCCGATCTGGAAGCCCTACCCGAGGAAGCAGGGCCTCGCGAGCGACGTGCCAAAATCCGTGCAGAAGGGCTGCAAGGTGGACAAGCCGTGCTCGAAGGGCGCCGCTTTCCCGCTGTCCGACACGGACGCCGGCGCCCGCTACGCGTACCACATCAAGGCCAAGTGAGCCGCCCGACACAGCGCCCTTGGCGCGGGCCCCGCTGCGTCCACCGCCGCTGCCAAGCACGGCACGCGTTCTGGGATCACGGGCTCGCGCTCTGGGCGCACAATGGGTTGAGTCTGCTTCCCCTTTTGCGCACTGCCCGCACAGAGCACTTTTCCTGCACTTTTGGGTGGGTATGATGGGTCGCCGGTGCGTCATGCTGTGACCTGTGTGGGGAGCGTTAGCCGCGACAAATATGTGCTCATGAGAGACACCTCGACAATAACGACAACCCCAGAGGCACACACACACACGCACCCGCCGGCGCCGCCGACCGCCGGCGGCGGCGGGACTCGGAAACGCGTGGTCTCGCGGGAGCCGCTACGCGCTAGCCCGGTACGCGGACGAGAGAGAAGGCCGGCCGCCGCGCGCCGGCGCGGCGTGCGGCGGACGCTCGCTGAGCTAGGCTAGATGAGTCTGGCTCCAGACTCGGGTGAGCTGTGGTCCCCGGGGGTGCACACCTGGCGCGTCTCAACACTGCCACGGCACCTCTGGACCTGCCTCGGCAGCACGCCACGCCCCTTCGGCTCTTCGCTCTCTCGCAGACTCTCCTCACGCAATGCCATAGTACCTCAGCCAGCCCAGGATGGTGCCGCGCTGCAGCTCCCGCTCCTTCTCGGCTCTGCGCTCGAGGATGTGGCGCTCCTGGCGGCATGGGGAATATCACATGACGGGGGGGGCCAGAGGCAGGAGCTCGACTCGCCGCTATGAGCCCGGCCCCTCCTCTCAGCGAGTGCGCGAAGGTGGTGTGAAGACAGGGAGGCGAGGGTGCGCACAGTCTCAGTGGTGTGTCTCAGTGCGCTGCCTGCCCTGCGACCACGACGAGGCGTGTAGAGAGCACGAGGGGCCGAACGTCGCATCTACGAGACGCACCAGCAACGCCCGCCACTCCGACACCTCATTGCCCGACGCTGCGCCGCCCGCCGCTGCGCCGCCCACGGCGCCGCCCCCACTCTTGCGCATCTGCTGCGACACGCGCGTCGCCTCGCGCAGCGCCGTCGCCGTCGCCTCCCTCGCCTGCACCGTCGGCGCGCGGCTCGGATGGCGGTGGAATGCCGTCTCTCGGGCACTCCTTTCGACTACCAGATGGGCAGCCATCCGCATCTCGGAAGCCCCTCACCCCCCGCTCGTACGCGTGCGCCGCGGCGCGCCGCGCGCGCTGCTCCAGGTAGAATCGGCCGAGCCGCTCGCGCAGCGGCGCGGCGACGCTGGCGCTGGCTCGGAACCAGTGCTCGCGCAGCACGACCCACGACCCGTCCGCGCCGACGGCGACGTCGAGCACTTCGCCAGCCGCGATGCTCGGCTCGCCTGGCGCGCTGCAGACCTTGTCGCCTCGGCGCGCAAGCTCGGCGGCGACCTCGCCTCCGAGGCCGGCCCACTGCGACCCCTGCGAGTCGGCAATGAAGTAGGCGCCTGGAGGAGGAAGACCGGGACGCTTCAGGGAAGCTTCCGGCGCGCGGCGTCCGCGAGCCTATGAAGATGGCGCCGCCGGGCAGCAGCCGCACGACGCCGATGGTGCCCTTTGCGTCGTGCAGCTTCCGGATCCGCTTCTGCAAGCCGGCGGCGACGTGCTCGGCGCCGCAGAAGCCGTTGTGGCCTTGCAGGATGAGCCATCGCCCCTCGTCCCCAAACGCCACGTGCAGCCTGCTCTCGGGCAACGCTGTCCACTTGCGCAGCTGCCTCGACGCCGCAAACGCCGAGTCCCACCACGAAAAGGTGGAGGTGCCGCCGGCATCGACGCCGTGCACGAACCACTCGCCCGCCGCGCCGAAGCTGACCTCGTTGACGTGGTGGTTCTTGGTGCGCATCTTCTCGAGCTTGGCTGCGAGGGCGGCGGGGACGCCGCCCTCGCTCCACGAGCGAGTCTGCCAGTGCGCCGCGCCGTCCGTCTCCTCCAGGAGCAGCAGGAAGTCCGCGCCCGTCCGCCCGAGGAGCAGCTTGACCATCGGGCCCGCACTAGACCCTTGACGGCCGAGCGACGGCGGCGCTGGCGGGCGGTCCTGCTGAGTGCGAGGCTTGGGGCTTGCGAGGAACGGATCGCCATGAGCTCCGTTGTTGGGAGCCTTGTCGTCAGTCCAGAGGTCGAAGACCATGGTCGGAGAACGCGTGGCGGTTAACGACGTACGGGTTAACCCGTGAGCTGTTTACGACGAGGTGGTGCTGCTGCGGTCCGTGGCGGCGCCGCGGTTCGTTCCGGAGCGCATTTTTCTTCCGGACTAAATAAATAAAACGCACACCTCTAGAGGTGGAGCAAACTGCTCTAGCCTCACATATCACTTCCTGTCGTCTGTTGTTTGAGTTGTGCCCTTGTTTGTACTCTTGGCACCGTGGAGTGCTGGGGGGGGCGACAGGGAGGATGTGGCCCTGAGTTATGTGTACGCCGACTCAGGGTGTGTGGCAGCCAGCTGGCTGTGTGTCTTGTGAGCTTGTTTGTGTCTGTGTGTCGCTCGTGCGTGTCGTCATCATCTGTCTAGCGTCCACCCATACCGCGTTGGTGTCCAGTCCGAGCCTGGCTGTTCTTCACCTTACTACCTACCTACCTACCTCTACTAGGAGATGGGTAAAAAGGAACAGGTCCCCGCCCTGCGGTCTTTGTGCAGGGTTCTTTGTGGGTGTGGTCGGCGGCTAGCCGGGGTCGTCCTCCCGATGGGGGACTAGCACTAGCCGTCTTCCACATGGTCCCTCGGGTCCCTGCTGCTCCTAATCTCTTCGTACATCCTCCTGCTGATCTCCGCAACGTCCTGCTCCCTCCCTCGTCTCGCCCTGCGCGACTGCTCCGCCTCACCGTCGTCCGCCCTGCGTCGTCTGGTGACGGGTCCTCCATAGTCGGTTGAGGTCGCCGCCCTCCTCGTGCCTCTTCCCAACGTTCCCTCGGCGGTCGATGCCGTCTGGTCCGCCTCCGCCGTCCCCGGGTCTGCCCTGCCCTCGTCTGCACTAGCTCCTGTTTCGTCATCACTGGCGCCTCTCCTCTTCTTTCTCCTCTTCTTGTATGCTTTGTACATCGCGTCGATCCCTTTTCGCGTGAGCACCATCCTGAAGCTCGCCCAGCAGCGGAACCGCTCCCTAAGTCGAAGGAGCATCATCAGTCTCACCCACTTCGCTCTCTGCCCACCGTCTCCGCTCCCTCCCGCTTGAGCCGCCGTCGCGGCCCTCGTTCGTCCCACTGGCTGTTGGCCTGTCTGCACGTTGCCTCCGTTATCCCTCCTCCTCCGCGACTCCCTCAAGGCCGGGCGGGCCTCCTTCCACCCAGCGAAGAGCTTCCTCAGCCACTCGATGTGTTCCTCTCTCTTCATTATGCGCGCCGTTGCTTCGTCATTGAGCTGTATCCACCTCTGCACCGCTCCCGTCGCCGCCTCGGCCACGACTTGCAAGTTCCTCGTGACCCCGGTGCCAAGGTCCCTTCGGCTCTTCTCCGAGAGGTCATCTACCAGTGCTGGCAACACCCCCCCGACTGCGGGGGCCAGTGTATCGTACCCGTCCTCATCCAGCACCCTGTAGCGTGAGCCCTTCAGCGCAGCGACATGCGCCATCCTCAGCGTCTTCAGCGTCTCCTTGGAGTCGGGTGCCGCCTGTGCCACTTTGCTGATCGCCGTCCCTGTCTGCGCTCGCGCTACTCTGAGGAACCATCTGGCCTGCTCCCTATTCCCCAGGCAGGCGCCGCTAAGCACGTGCGCCATTGTCGCTCTAGGCGGGTTCTCATCTTCCTCGGTCCATTGCTGCGCGGCTTTCCGCACGATCGGACACAGCGGGTCCCGCTTTAGTGCTGCCCTCCTCGCCGCGTCCCTCGCGGCCTTACAGACGAGGCAGCCCCTGAGTTCGCTCCTTGTGGCGGCGCCCGGGGTCTCCCTCCCCGCCTCGCCCCGCAGAATGATCTGAAGATGCTGGGGCCAAATACAGTGACCTGGCTGTGAAGGTCACCGCCTCCCGCAGCATTGAGCGGCACGTCCTCCGCTCATCCAGGTGGGTGCATGGCATCTAGGTCGTCGGCTTTGCAGACGGGCGACGTGCACGGGACACAGGGACGGGCGAACCATGTACCCGAACAAGCATGATCCAGTTCCAGAGAACGGGGCGTTGCATCTACATGGTGCGGGACCTGGGGCAGCAACCAACAACCTGGATGGGGACGGGGTGCTGCGCAACCGACGCCAACCAGCAGCGTTCACAGCACAGTGCGAAACTAGGGTTGCAACCTGGTAAAAAGACGGCTCGCTGTTAGG